ACAACTCTCTAAAAAGAATGCAAATCAACCCAAGTGGCCTCAGTGACTCTTAGAAAGAGTGCAAATGACCGGCTGTCTGCAAGGAGTATAAACCCAAGTGGCCTCAACAACTCTCTAAAAAGAATGCAAATCAACCCAAGTGGCCTCAGTGACTCTTAGAAAGAGTGCAAATGCCCGGCTGTCTGCAAGGAGTATAAACCCAAGTGGCCTCAACAACTCTCTAAAAAGAATGCAAATCAACCCAAGTGGCCTCAGCGACTCTTAGAAAGAGTGCAAATGACCGGCTGTCTGCAAGGAGTATAAACCCAAGTGGCCTCAACAACTCTCTAAAAAGAATGCAAATCAACCCAAGTGGCCTCAGTGACTCTTAGAAAGAGCGCAAATGACCGGCTGTCTGCAAGGAATATAAACCCAAGTGGCCTCAACAACTCTCTAAAAAGAATGCAAATCAACCCAAGTGGCCTCAGCGACTCTTAGAAAGAGCGCAAATGACCGGCTGTCTGCAAGGAGTATAAATCCTTCCCCACCATCCAATCAGAGCTGAAGAAGCTTCTTAGAGGAAAAGCGAAACAACTTCAAGGAAAAAAAAAAGCACTTTTGCAAGAACCGTGGCTAATAAATCCTTAGCTCTCCTACCTTACTGTAGTTGCTTCCCGGAGAGTAACTCGACGCCGTACCGTAGGACCCGCTGCTTCCCGACAAGGCCTGCAGCTGGGGACTGTATCCGGAGATGCAACCGGTCGCAAATTTGGGGCTGGTGCTGGGGGAGCGGGAAGGACTGTAGCTCAGGACACTCTGCCCCTGGATGGGAGGGGAAGGGGGCGAAGGGGGCGTTTTCTTGGGCATCAGCTCGCGCGGCGGCGTAGTCTGGACCGCTGAAAGTAAACCCCATTTTGGAAGATTAAGAAAGAACAGCAAAGAGACGGACGAGATAAATTGTAATCGTTGGGGGTGTGTGTTAAAACATAAAAGTTTCTGAATGAAGCCAGCGTGTTCGGGTGATAAGAAACAAGGAATTTAAAGGGCAGGTAGTCCTCGACTTACAACCCTTCCTTTAGTGGCCGTCCAAAGTTACGACGGCGCTTAAAATTAAGTGACTGACGGGCATTTTTCACACTTACGACTGTTGCAGTATCGTGATCAAAATTCAGAGCTTGGGAACGGGTTCATATATCAGTCAATCGCAATAGAGCTGGAAGGGACCTTGGAGGTCATCTAGTCCAGCCCCTTGCTCAAGCAAGAGACCCTACACCATTTCAGACAAGTGACTCTCTTCAGGCTCTTCTTTAAAACCTCCAGTGACGGGATAGTGGGGGGTGGGGGTGGGTGTCAAAATTCAGACGTTGACAACTGGTTCATATTTACGACGATCGCAGCGTCCCAGGGTTACGCGATCCCCTTTTTACGACCTTCCCCGTCAACGGGGAAGCCACATTCGTTTAACTGCCGTGATGCCAACTTAACAGACGCAACGATTCACTTAACAACGGTGGTGAGAAAAGTCATAAAATGGGACAAGCTCACTTAACAAACGTCTCCCATGGGCAACATAAATTATGGGCTCAGGTGTGTGTGGTCGTAACTCCAGGAATGTCTGTAGGTGGAAGAACAGGCAGTCCTCGACTTACGACCATAACTGGGAACAGACTTTTTGGTCGTGAGTTGAGGCACACCTGTGACCGTTTAAGAGATGCTGAAAGAGAGGCCAGAGGGCCATCTCTTGGGGATGCTATAATAAGTTTGTTTATATTTCATATTTCTTAACTGCCCATGTTCCTCAGGAAAGGGTCTTAACTAATAGGGGGAAAATGTTATGATATAGGATATAGTTAAATAAAGAATGGATAATGATAATGAATTATATACATGGAGGATTAGAAAACTTTGGTATTAAATATTTTGGATGTTTAGCTAAAACAGGATATGAAGATTTAATGTTAATG